TATTGACTAAGCCAAGCACACCTTGGCTTTTGTGAAAGTTTTAAAAATGCATTCTCTATTGTCCGTGAAAGCGTCAGTTCCCGACAAGCGAACAGTTGGGAAATACTGAATTAAACTCTTAGCGCAAAATAGAAAGTTTGCCAGGGAAGAGCAATAAGTAATTTTCTGATCAGCAGAAGGCGCTGTAACCCTATCTCAAGCCCGGTGGGATAGTCTCCAGAAAGGCAGTCGTATCTCAGAAGATGCAAAAGCCACCTTGCGCGGCAACAGCGATTCTGGAAGGGCTGCTGGAAAGAAAAGTTCAGCCTGACCTTACCTTTGAACATGTCATTGCAGTTTTCCTGGCCACAGTCCCAAAGTGGTTTCCTCTACCTTCTTGGAGGATTTTTTTCCCCCCAACTTTGCAGTCTTGCTTTCAGCCCTGAGATCTTCTTGGGATCTGCTATCATCTGATAGGATGACCCTGCTTAGCTTCCCAGCCCAAAAAAGATTGGACAGATACTCCTATCTGCTCCCGAAGAAGAAAGCAAATCACGCCATGCTCAGAATAAAGAGAAGCAAATTTTTAGGCAGGTAAATAAAGAGTTCTCTTTCAGTTCAACAGATCTTGGAAAAGAAGCATCAGATTTCAGAATCATGTTTTGGAGCTGCTGAACAATAGATGGTGGGACAAAGGAACACTTTTATTATTAAAGGAAATAAAGTGGATTCTGGATTAACTAAACCCAGTTCTACAGAAGTAAATGAAGGTATCTCATACTTACCATTAACTACCTCAGGACATTCTTTTTAAGAATGAGAACTTTCCGTTTCAATTATGGTATCATTTGTTTGGGTTACAAACAATAAGAGCCCAGAATGCCAGTCAGTTTGTTCACTGATACCAATCGCCCAGTTTCTACAGGTAAAAGTGAGCTCCATTTCAATGCACCTTCTCTGTTTAATGTACAACTGAAGTTAGTAACGGTTAGGGTTCACGGGGATGCGCTTTGCTAATTTCAACATTATTTATGTGGCCATGTAAAAAATGCACCTCTCTTTAGCAGGGATTTTCATCTGCCTCTAGCAATGTGGATGTTGTTTGTAGATAACGACTTTTGTGTTGGTTTTTGGCAGAGGCATCCAGAGGGGGGTCAAAAAAGTCAAGATGGAGTCCCACAGTGGAAGTCCCACACCTTTTTCACATGTGTCTGTTTATGGCATATGAGAATAAGGTACAGTAATAGCATAATTCTGTCATTCTTTGTGCTTTCTTTTCGGTGGGAAGGACTTGGGGAAGCGTTCCTGACATCTTGCAATAATGAGAAGAATCATTCATGTGGCATCTGGTAGGAATCAGTCTTCAACGTACAACATTTTTATTGTTTGGGCTTGCCTTCCAAGAGAAGGGCTAGATTATTTCTGCAAAATACGCCGTAGTATGAGCTGAATATCTACATAAATAACCTGTATGAATTGCACTTCTAAGGATGTTTTCATCCCATAATTATTCGGACTCAGGTTCTTTCCACAGATAAAAACTTCCCCAATCCTAAAGCAATTATACATTTATTTATTTTCCATTACCGTTTGTGAAGATCTAGGAGATATAAGAAAGCGAGCTCTACTAGCTGAATGCTTCATAGAGAAGAAGCATCAGATTTCAGAATTATGTGTTGGGGCCACTGGTATTGGAAAAGGGGGAGACGCTTTTCTAAGGAAAGAAATAAAGTGGATTCTGTGATTAAATAGACTTATCCCTAAAGGATGAAATGAAAATATCTCCTACTTGCCCTAAAGTTCCCTATATATCATTCTCTTTAAGAATGAGAACTTTTCCTTACAATTACTGTAGTTTGTTTGTGTTATAAACAGTAACGGCCCTGAATACCAGTCAGTTTATTCAATGATGCCAATCGGCCAGTTCTGCAGGAACTGTACTGCGTAAGGGAGCTGGGTTTTGATACTCCTTCTTGGCTTAATATACAACTAAAGCAAGTCATATTTAGAGATTCCCGTGGGATTGACCGGGTTCATTTTAGGTTTATTTACATATCCACCAAAAAGATTCTTTTCTCTTTAGTGGGAATTTCTGTCTGTCCCTAAGAACCTGAATGTTCTCGGTAGATAAGGGCAATTGCGTAGGGTGGGATTTACAACCACTCCCTTTTTCTCTAAAGTTAATTTTTGTTAACCTTGCCACCCAAACAGATAGAGGAATGTTGGGCTCCTCCCCAACACATTGGTTTGATCTCCTTTATTATTTAATTAATTAATTGAAGGATTGGTATCACCCCCTATCTCACATCGGTGACACTGGGTGGCTTACCAAAAAAATAGATAAAAACTAAATAAAACACATACGGTATTTCAAAAAGGACACACAGCAGCCAGAATCATAAAACAACCATGAACACAGCTAGAAGATAGGCCCCAACCCACACCCAGGGTCCCAGGCAGGGGCATAAAATCAAGTTTTCAAAGCCTTGCAGAAAATTAACAGGGTCAGGGGCAATCTGAGCCCTAGAGAGATGATGTTCCAGACACTGGGCACCACAGCAGAAAAGGCTCTCCTTTTGGGCCTCGCCAACGATAGGACCCAAGCATATCCTCCTACTGGATTGGGTAGGATGGGTAGAAACAACCAGGAAGAGCTGGTCCCCTAAATAGCCCACTTCCAAGCTATTAAGTCAGTGTTTCTCAATCTTGTCAACATTAAGATGTGTGGACTTCAACTCCCAGAATTCCCCAGCCAGCATGGCTGGCTGGGGA